ATAATTAGAAAATCTGTTTTAATGACAAACATTACTGTGATTATGATACTATATATCAAATGACAGTGTATGAAAAAAGAAGAGTGCACCAGGAGAATTTAGCCTAGTTGATTACTTTTTTTAAAAAATGTTTGTATTGTAGTTTGAGAATAACAGATATTTTAATCATATATTTCCCTTGTCACAATTCCTTCTATTTTATGTTCTTTTCCAAATTTTATGTTCATTTCTCTCTTGAAACAAAACAAAACCATGCACACACACACACACACACACACACACACACACACACACACACACACCCCACACAATACACAACAGAGGAAAAAAAGAAAAGAAAAAAATTAAATCTATGTTGGTTACCTACTCCTGAGTATGAGGCATGTCCTGAATTGTGTCTGATTCACTCAGTGTCAGTGAAATGAGGGAAACATTTTTCTTCACCATAGCAGATATGAGCTGTAAATACTGACTTAGCTAGGGGTGGGGCATTGTGCTCAGTCCTTCCCCATTCTGGGGTTTTGCCTGCCTTGAACTTGTAGAGGTTTGTGCATAGAGTCACTGTCTCATTGAGATCATGCATGCATCGGCTTCATTGTGTGGGGGAAAATGTGGATTCTTAGGAGTCATCCATCAACTCTCGCTCACAATATCTTTACTTTCTTTACCCATGGGATCCTGTGGATGGGAGAACCCACATCCCTTTTAGGACTGAATACCCCAAAGTCTCTCATTCTCTGTATATTGTCTAATTATGGTTCTCTGTGTTAGTTACCACCTAACGAAAGAATCAGTTGCTCTGATGAGAGGAGAGCAATGTACTGATCTATGAGTATAGCAATACGTCATTAGGAGCCATTTTGTTACTATCATTTAGTATGACAATAGTAATAGTATTCTCCTCTTATGACACATGACTTACCAATTTTATGTCATTGGACCTAATAATGCAGTCACCTGTGAGTCTTACTTCCAATTTTTTTTTTAAAAGATGTGTTACTCCCATAAAACTAGCGCCATCGTTACACCCGTGAATATATCTTGAGTTAGATTGCTGTTGTACTTTACAAGGTTCTATCTGGGTGAGACTAATGATTACCTTTCCCCTCAGGTAGTATATATATATTAGCTTCTAGCAACATAAACTCTATTCAATAGGAGTAAAGTTTCCGGTTGTGTACCAGCTTCATTTCTTCTGGTCTGAGGACATAAATATGTTTTCTTTGTCACCAATAAGGTTTTATTTTCAGGTTGTGGAGGGAAGTAATTAATACTGTTAATCATTGTTAATGCTTGGTATGTATAGAGGGCTTCTTTGGTCAACAACAGAAAAATATTGAAGACTTCATAGTACTTGCAGCAGTTTTATTTCCCAACAAATGCTGTCCAGCCGAATATTTTCTTCCCCACTATAGGTAATAACAATTAGATTCCATTCACAGGTGTATATAATTAAGAAGTTTCCATGGTAGTAAGTTTTCATATAGCCTTCAAAAGTGCTTAATACTTTTCTTCTCTGCTCTGCCCTCCAATTCCCCATTTAATCCTTCTTTTTTATTTTCCTCTTTGTGACCTTAAGACAAGACTTTTTTATTTTTTGAAAAAGAAAACAAACTATCTTTTTTTCATTTTACATACCAATCCCAGTAACCACTCTCTCCCCTCCTACCATTCTCTCCACCTCCCATCTACCCCTCAGAGAAACTAAGGCACACTGCTTTGGGGAGGACCCAAAACCTTTCATACTATATCTAGGCCGAGCAAGGTATCCACCCAAAGAGAATGGGTTAGTAAAAAGCCAGTACAAGCAGTAGGGATAAATCTCGGTGCCACTGTAGGTGGCCCCACAGTTTGTCCCAGCCAAACTACTGTCACCTACATACAGAGGGCCTAGTGTGGTCCTATGCTTGTTCCTTCCATGTCCGGCTGGAGTTATCATTAGTTCAAGTAAACTGTTTCAGTGAGAGTCCCTATCATGATCTTGACCTCTTTGCTCATATTCTCATTGCTCCTACTCTTTTACTGGACTTTGGGAGGTGAGCCCATTGCTCAGCTGCAGGTCTCTGTCTCTGATTCCATCAGTTGCTAGATAAAGTTTCTCTGGTGACATTTAAGATATTCATCAATTTGACTACAGGGAAAGACCACTTCGGTCATCCTCTCCTCTATTCCTAGGCTCTTAGCTGAGATCATCCTTATGGATTTCAAAAATTTCTCTAGTGACAGGTTTCTTGCCAGTCCCCAAATGGCTCACTCAATCAGAATAACTTTGTTTGTCTGTCCTCTTAACTATCCCATTCTTTCAAGTTCTCCTCCTCCTTCCCTTCTCCCCATTTCTACCCTTCCAACCTTTCTCCTCTCCACACCACAATTCTCTCAGTTTTGTCAGGCTCTCTTGTCTATTTCCCTTTCCAGGTTGCTCTTTATATGTTTTTCTTAGGGTTAACCTTGTTACTAAGCTTCTCTTGGGTCATGGAATATAGGCTCTTTATTCTCTGATTTACAGCAGTATTCACTTATCAGTGAGTACATACCAAGTTCACCTTTCTGGGTCTGGGTTACCTCACTCAGGATTGTTTCCTCTATTTCCATCTATTGGCATGCATATATGCAAATTTCAAGATATAATTTTTTGTTTTTTTTATCACTGAGCAGTACTCCATTGTGTAAATAAATGTACCATATTTTCTTTATCCAGTCTTCGGTTGAGGGGCATCTAGGTTGTTTTCAGGTTCTGATTATTACAAATAATGCTGCTATGAACATAGTTGAACAAATGTCCTTGTATTATGATTGAATCTGTTTTAGACATATGCCTAAGAGTGATATTGATGGGTTCTGAGGTTTGTTGATCCCCAATTTTATGAGAAAATGTCATACTGATATCCAGAGAGGTTGTACAAGTTTGCATTTCCACCGGCAATGGAGCAGTGTTCCCTTTCCTCCACATACCTCCAGCATAAGCTATCATTGGTGCTTTTGATCTTAGCCATTCTGACTGGTGTAAATCTCAGTCATTTAGATTTGCTTTTCCTTGATGGCTAAGGATGTTGAACATTTCCTTAGGTATCTTTTGGCTATTTGAGATTTTTCTGTTAAGAATTCTCTGTTTATTCCTGTACCCCATTTTTCAATTGTGTTATTTGGAATTTTGATGTCTAACTTTTTGAGTTCTTTATACAGTTTGGAGATTATTTCTCTGTCTGCTGTGGGGTTGATGAAGATCTTTTCCCATTCAGTAGGCTGTCTTTTTGTCTTATTGACTGTGTCCTTTGCTTTACAGAAGCTTTTCAGTTTCAGCATGTCCAACTCTGGTTGCAGCTCCATAGCATCTCTCTGCACTGCCCTCTTTCTTCTAGCATAGTCTAGTTTTTCCCACCTAGTTCTATTCTGCCCCTTGCCATATGCTGAAAGCCGTTCTCTATTTGTTAACCAATAAAAGCAACACATAGATAGAAGATCATCCCACACCATTGGATAGATATAGATCTGTTTACAAACACAACATTCAATTTCCCTTTCTTTGAAGATCCTCTCCTCCTACTTGATCACTTACTGTCTACCCAAACTCTATGAATATATTAAATGTAAACACATACCTGAATCTATAAGGATTATATAAGACAATGATCTATGTCCTTATCCATCTGTGAAAAGAAAACTTCTTCAAGAATTGATCTTATCCTATGAAGAATAGTCAAGGTGAAAGACTCTAAATGCATTTGTAAGCCCCCTCAACCCTAAGACATTTTTCTAAAACTTTACACTCACTCTCTCTTGGAAACGGGACAGTCACCCACCCACACACATACTGGACTGCTCATCCTCCTGTGTTATTGTCAATAATCTTCAAACGTAACTCCATTCTGGGAATTAAGGCAAATACAACCCACAGATGTTGACTCAGTTCCTGACATATTGACTTAGTCACTAGAACAAGGTCAGGAAGGCCACAGAAATTCAGGACCTGGGAATTCACTGCTCCCAACAATAGGTATCAAAGATATCACAAAAAATAGAAATAACCATGTACTACCAAGTGAGCAGTGCTTCTACAAAAATTAATATTAATAATAGCTGGATGTGGTGGTGCATGTCTTTAATCCCATCACTCAAGAGGCAGAGGTATGCATATTTCTGTGAGTTTGAGGCCAGCCTGGTTTACAAAATGAGTTCCAGGACAGTCAGGACTGTTGTTTAGAGAAAATTTGTTTCAAAAAAACAAAAAAAAAAAAAAGAAAAAAGAAAAGGAGAAAAAGAAAATTAATTTTTAAAGCACAAGCAGTACTATTAAAACTAATTACAAAGGCCAAAATATTAAGAGTATCAATAGCAAATTTGGGCAAGAATATGAAATAGTAGTCATTTTCATTCACCTTAGGAACATAGATTCATCATCTACAGTGGAAAGTTGTTTGAGACTATCTAGTAAGTATATTGAATGCTTTTTTCTTTAAATCCACAGATTTAGTCATTAACTCTTTACCTAGTTATTTATTTAAGAGAACTTAAAAATCCTTGCTTTGCCTTGATGCAAGTGGGAGGGGCTTGTCCTGCCTTAACTTAATGTTCCAGGCATTGACTCCCCATGGAAGGCCTTACCTTTTCGGTGGGTTGTTGGAAAAGTTGTGGTAGGGAGAGCAGAAGAAAAGGAGGGAGAAGGAACTGTGGATGGCATGTAAAATAATTTAAAAAATTTAAATGAATAAATAACACACCAAAAAAGTTTATGCATCTGCTGCTTTACAGCAATGTCTTATATCTGTAATACACTAGCAAGCTTTCTTAAAAATACACTGTATGAATAAACTCCAAAATAAAAGAATATATTGTCTACACTTCCATTTTTATCAAGCCCAAAGAGACTAAGGAATCCAGAATAACAGAGGTAAGAAATCAGTCGCTAAGAGCATTACAGAAATTAGCGGCACAGGAATCTAGGGGATTTTGTGTTAGGGAAAAAAAGCGTATTTTTGTCATGGCAATTGCCAGAGTACATACCATAGTCTGTGACTGTATAAGGCTGTTTTCTCCATGTGTTGACCTGAAACTAACATCAATTGAAGCTGTCAGTCTCTTAAATTCATCTTTCACAAGAGGTATCCCAGTTTGATAAGATCAAGTCATTTTGTATCTAAATTAGAGAAGTATAACAAAAATAACCTTTACAGTTACTAAAGAATTTCCTTCACATTTAAATATTTAATGTCTCTGGAATAAATCCAATTTCCAGTTTGAAGCAATGGATAATTGTGGAATAGCTAACTTGTTAAAAATGTGAACATTAACCCTTTAGATAAGATTCCCATTTCATGGATGGCATCTGTGTGAAGGGTCTATTTCCAGACTCTGGATCCTATACGCCTGTTTTACTTGTCTATTATTGCAGTTTTCAAACTGTCTTAATTATTATGGCTCTATAATGGTTTTCAATACCTTATAAAACTCTCAGAGGACAATTAGCTGTCTTCTCATAATCATTTGCCTCTGTCAGCCCACACAATAGCTATTTTTAAACATTGCTATACATTCTTTCAGCATCCTGCCCTGGCAATTCCCCATTACACTCAGCAGATACCTTGAGTCCTACTTAATAGAGACTTTAATGACTTCGCGGCTTTCCACCTCCAAGCACATCAGTGCCATCAATCATCCTCATAGCCTTGCTCCCTGGGTTAGTGGAAGAGCCTTTGCAGCTATGGGATAGCAATACTTACAACTGTGGTTTGAATCTCTTCCTCTCTTTGTTCTGGAACCTTATACCACACCATCGGTTTCTCTCTTTCCACACATTGCTTTCCACTGGGAAAACTTTTATCTCTTCTCTTGATGACAACATTTCAAACATTTTATTTTTAAAATTTGTATATTTCAAGCTTAATATTTATAAGTCCAGGTTTGGAGACATTATGGGGTTTATCTTTCATTTTTCCTGATTATCTTTCTATGTAAATATCTCTCATAATGCTGATATTGTATTTTAAATAATCTTTGAATATGCATATAATCTTGGAATATCTATAAGTTTTATAGTGGAGGTCTCAATATCTATTTTATCAATAAACTTTGTTCTATAACAAGGTCAATAATAAGGGATTACATATATGGATACATGATTTCTAATTTTTTCATAATATTTTTAAGACAGTTTCAGTATTACAGCTTCTAAATTTTCTTTCCTTCGATTGTTCATGGTTTTTCCTTAAAATGTTTTAGAAATTTGTTTTTTTGAAAGTTTCACATACCTGAAGGTAATATGTTCACGCCTTTCCTACCTTTATCCCCATGTCTGGGTTATGTCCTCTTACCTTACAGAGGTAAACCTGCTCTGCCTAATATGTTCCTTTCCCAAGTTGAAGTCTTTTGGTTTGATTTTGTGATCCATCTAGGGTATGCAACCACAGATACCATATATTCATAATAACAATGGCTATGCCATGCCCACAGTTTGGCATTCCATATCTTGTCTTATCTTCTAGTTTTTTTGTTTCTAATAGTCTTACCACTCCCTACTCATATATAGTCCTTGAGCCTTAGAAAGGAGATGGTATAAATGTCCTGTAATGCCTGGGTACTCATCCGTCTTTTCTCAGCTTTCAGCATATCTCTTAATTTTAATTAAGATGTATTTATAATTTTTAGTCAATGTAAATACACTAAAATCTTCAGTTATACAGATTGTTAAACTAATAAAACTGCAGGAGCCAATGATTATGTCACTCACAAGAAACCCTGTAAATCTCAAGACAGTGATAATGAAATGTAAGAATCAGTACATACTAAATTTGCAAGTACTTGACACAATAAGTCTGTTTTGCCACCCTATGCATTCCCCTTATCGAAAACACATTATTTTCTCACATGGGTACTCTGAGTATGATTTCCTCTCCCTGTACTCCTCCGAAATTTTCCCCAACACCCTTCCCATCTAGATTCACTCTTTCTTTGTTTCTCGTTAGGAAAAACGGGCTTCTAAGAAATAATAACAAAATACAACAAAACAAAATATAAAACAAAAAAAATCATATTCGAGTTGGACAAGACAAACAACCAAATGCAAAAGAGTCCAAGAAGAGTCACAAATATCAGACTGCAGCAGGTGGGAACAAACAGAGACCCACACCCAGAGAATGAGTGACCATGAAACACTCAGCCCTAAATGGGAGGTCTCCACCAATCCCTTTCCTCGGGGCTCAGGGAACCCCAGGAAAGCGAAAGCTGGAACATTGTCAGAGCCCAACCTCAGGGGATGAGAGTCCCTCTGAGTAAGCATGATCAAAGCTCATATGAATTCACTGTGAGGCAACATGTACAGAGCCTACATGGGTCTGCATCCGATCTTCTCCGTATGTACTGTGGCTTCTAGTTTAGTGTATTTCTGGAATTTCCGAGTGTGTGTGTGTGTGTGTGTGTGTGTGTGCGTGTGTTGCAGTACAAGTGTAGATCACTAAATTCCACAAGAATGTATCTAATTTCTCAAGGATACAGTTAAAAATAGTTATGAATCCACGAATATAAGCGTTAAAAACTAAACTCAAGTCCTTTGTAAGGGAATCATACACTTTTCATTTCTGGGAAATCTCTTCAGTTCCAGGTCACAATTTTTTGACTAGTTTTACAGTACTAGGCTTGAAGTAACACCTCTAGAATGGAGTTAAAATACAACTGACAAAGAATTGTGTGACATAAGATTCACACATCTACGGCATCAGTGGACCCATCTTGCCTAGTGGGTTGGCATCCTAGTTCAGAGCGTTCACAGCTGCCTTAGAACTCTTAGATACCAGCTGCCAGCACAGTATCCTCTTACATGATGAAAGACAACCGGCAGGGATGAAGAGTCTCATTGAATCCAAACTTTGTTTCTCCAAATCTAACAACACGGGTGAATGGTTTTTTAGCAGCAAGGTCTCCAGTTAGCAACAAGGAAGAATATCAAAAGCCTGTGTTGTTTGCTATATATGAATGAATTTCCTTGATAACATAGGAAGAACATGGAGCCTTTGTACTTCTTAGACAACACTTCAAATGTTGTCCAGGCTTGCTTTCAATCTGAAACTTTCTTTTCTAAGCCTCATAATTGCTGAGGTTGCTGGCAATCACCACCATGTTTCTCTTTCATATTTTCAGCTTTTTCTTTTCCACTGCATAATTTTATTGTTTAAATTTTTTAATTGTTTTTATTGATCTATATGTTTTCCTCCACTCTCCTTCTTTTCTCCTCCCTCCCCTTCTATCCTCTTTCATGGTCCCCATGCTCCCAATATACTCAGGAGATCTTGTTTTTTTCTACTTTCCATGTAGATCAGATCCATGTATGTCTCTCTTAGGGTCCTCTTTGTTGCCTAGGTTCCTGGGATTGTGAATTATAACCTGGTTTTTCTTTGTTTTATGTCTAAAAACCACTTATGAGTGATTACATATGATATTTGTCTTTATGGGTCTAGGTTACCTCACTCAAAATGATGTTTTCTAGATCCATCCATTTGCCTGCAAATTTCAAGATGTCATTATTTTTTCTGCTGTGTAGTACTCCATTTCCCATATCCATTTTTCAGTCAAGGGGCATTTAAATTGTTTCCAGGTTCTGGATGTGACAAACAATGCTGAAATAAACATTATTGTGCTGTGCTCTTATGGTATGACCACACATGCTTTGGAATATACCCAAAAGTGGTATTGCTGGATCATGAGGAATGTTGTTTCCTAATTTTCTTAGAAAATGCCATACTGAAACCCAAAGTGGCTGTACCAGTTTGCATTCCCACCAGCAATACAGAAGTGTTTCCTTTAACCCACATACTCTCCTGCGTAAGTTGTCATCAGTGCTTTTTATCTTGGCCATTCTTACAGGTGTAAGATGGAATCTCAGAGTTGTTTTGATTTGCATTTCTTTGATGGCTAAGGATGCTGAGCATTTCCTTAAATATCTTCCAGCCATTTTAGAATCCTCTGTTGAGAGTTCTCTGTTTTGGTCTATACTCCATTTTTAATTGGATTATTTGTTCTTTTGATGATCCATTTCTTAAGTTCTTTACATATTTTGTAGATCAGTCCCCTGTCCGATGTGGGGTTGGTTAAGATCTTTTCCCATTCTGTAGGCTGTTGTTTTGTCTTGTTGACCATGTCCTTTGCTTTACAGAAGTTTTTCAGTTTCAGGAGATTCAATTTATTAATTGTGTCTCTCAGTGTTTGTGCTGCTGGGGTTATACTTAGGAAGTAGTCTCCTGTGCCATCATATTTCAATCTTACTTTAGTCTGCTATTCTTCTGAGTATTCCTTCTGCTTTGGTAAATGACAGAGTCTATTGTTCTACTAATGTAAAGAATAAATGAAACCAATCCTTGTGTATTTTTATCCTGTACTTAATAAGAGTTAAGTGTGTAGATTCTACTTCCTCATTATTATTTGCATGTCTCCCTTCTAATAACTTCTCACTCCCACTTACTATGAATTATCCTAAAGTCAATGACAAACTACGCATTTTACCTTTCCTCTGATGCCACTGAGCCTCCACTATTCTAATATTTAGAACTGTACAGTGATAATCATGCAGTACTTCTTACATGAAGAGTTGATTTATTTATGTTGAAAACCATTTCATAGAATTTTAATTAAATATAAATCTGTAATTTTGAATGAAAAATAATTTCACTTGAAGAGACAATTTGAAATTTCTCCAAACATCAAAATCTATATGTGAGTCTAATCTTGGTAACGGCTTGAAAGGTTATAATACCACTTACATGGTTTTTAAAATGGATTGTTGTGAATTGGCATCTCTACTACCTCCTCAGAAAAAAGAAGGCAGGTGGAAAAAGTAATGGAGTCATAAAACATGGTGGAGAGAAAAGTCAAAGAGATTCACAGCCTGAGTAAAGGAGAGTCCTCCTAACAGGGAGTCATGGCAGGCATTATACAAAAGCAGAGACTGGACCTTAAGACAATTAACAAATCATACCATCTTACCTCTTGCATCACAGTAGCTCATAGCATGTCAAGAGCTGGACAAGGTTTACAAACAGATGCTTCTCACAGACACTTTAGCAGAGTCCCAAATGATACCACATTGCCCCCACTCATTTGAAATCTGGTTCTTTAACAATTTTGTAAAATCTACTTGATCACATATACCCTTTCCCCAATTCCCGAATGGTTCATTCCCTTTTCTACACAGCCATCTTTGATCTTTTTTTTTCTTAATCCAAAAAGTCCAATTTGCTTTCCCATATACTTTTGCATGTATGGTCACCCCCTGGAGTGTGGGTGAAAGACTAGGGTCACATATTAAAGAAAAAATAAAAAAACTGTCTTTTTCTCCTTCAGGAAATAACATTTCCCTAGGTTGCAGCTAAAGTTCGGAAATCATTCCTACCTACTCTTTTGTTTGTTTGTTTTGCTCGAGTTTAGGCAAGCCTTTTTTATGCAATTACAACAACTACAAATATGTATGTGTAACTGCACTTCCATGTACAGAAAATTTACTTAGTGTCATGAACCACTTTAGGCTCTTACAAAGTTTCTGCCTATTCTTAGCAATTGTCACCAAACCTTGGAAGGATGAGACAAAAATTCTTTCAAAACATAACAACAACAACAAAATCCCAAACCAGAATTAATTCTAGTATAGATGTGTGAAAGAAGAATACATTCACTGCTGGTGAAAATGAAAAATAGTGCATTCACTATGAAAATTAGTATGGAGGCTCCTCTACAAATTTATAATAGTTCTACCACAAGATCCTAAGATGCCACTCTTGGGCATTTACCCAAAGTACTCTTTTTTTTCTTTTTCAAAGATTTCTTTACTTATTACGTATACAATGTTCCTCCTACTTGCAGACCTCCATGAAGAAGAGGGCACCAAATCTCATCATAAATGGTTATGAGCTACCGTGTGGTTGCAGGGAATTAAATTCAGGATTTCTGGAAGAGCAGTCAGTGCTCTTAACCTCTGTGACATCTCTTCAGCCCCCCAGAGCACTCTTAATATCACTTATAGAAATATCTCATTATCGATGTATATTGCTGCTTCATTTGTTAGCAAAGTAATCGAAATACATTGTTTAATAAATGACAAAATGATGAGCTTGTATATCATACAAATTCCAAAGAAAAATCTCTAACAAATGCAAAAATGAAAAGTAATTAAGTGATTATTCTTACAGTGTGGGGTTTTCCTTTTTCCTTGAGGTCCCTTGGCTACCAGTCCGTGAGGGACAGAAGCAGTGAGAGGGAGCTTTGTAAGGCCTGTGAACACAGTGGAAATAGCGAACTGTTTCAGTGAGAGAGTTCAACTTTATTCCAGGGTAAGGGGAGATATAAAGGATGGGGACAGAGACCAGACAGCACCTACTTTACATTAAAAAGCACATTCAAACCATAAGGCTCCTATTACAAGTATAAATACCATATGGGCAGCATGGGGGATGCTACTGCAGGCAACAGTGTCAAGGTCACCCTAGAAATAAGTCAAGCATCCAAACCTGGGGACATTCTCCAGATAAGTCAGATAGAGAACATGAAGTCCTGCACTGTGGAGAGAATCCTCCACGTTTCTATGCTATGAAAGCTGCCAGGTCATGGTAGACTGCACCACGTAACCACAGGGCCTCCCAACATTAGAGTAAAATAATTTCATCAATAAAAGTTAGCCCAAGGCTGAAGAGATATCTTAGTGTCTAGCTTTGCTGAAGAACCTGAATTTAATTCTCTGTATGGCAGAAATCAAAACAAAGAAGAAAGAGCACTTAAAAAGATGTTATTACATCAGATGAATTGATTGTTTTATTAATTGATAATTGTAGTTTAACTGCCCATAGTTTGTATTCATATTTGATTTTGCTATATAATGAAATGAATATAAAAATATTTCTTCATTTTCTTTTGAATGTTAAATGGTGCTCTACATTTGCATGTTTCCCAAAACTTCTATATATCCATATGTGGAAAAATGATTGATTACAACCTCCTTTTTAAAAGTATTTATTTGCTTATTTATTTATTTTAATTAATTCATTTTATTTGTATATGCATTTTGCCAACATTCATTTATGTGCACTAAGTACATGCAGTGCCTTCAGGGGCCAGAAAAGGCATAAGATTCTGATATTGGAGCAATAAATGGTTGTAAGATGCCATATATATGGGTGTTAGACACTGACCCTGGGTCCTCTACAAGAGTGCAACTGAACTGAATCTCTCAGCTACATCTTCAGTTCCTAATTGTGCCATTTTAAAAAGAATCAATAGACATTACCTCACAAGTGTTTTCCAATTCCTGTTTTATTTCTTCTCAGATTGGAGGAGAACATATAAGTATAGTGAGATAAAATCCAGTATCTTTGAATCTCCCTCTTAACATTCATGAGGACTCGTGTTTCTACAACAGTTTCTGTTATTACTCCATTGCTGTACAACTACTCCTTCATATTATGAAAACAAATGGTATGTTACCGACCCCATTTTTTTGTTTTTGTTTTTTTTTAAACCTTGATACTAGAACCTCTTTTATACAAGGGTAAGAACAGTTAAAAACTGATGTTGGGCCGGTGCAATGAAAGGCATTCACATATGACTACAATTTTTTCTGCCCACAGTACCAGTGTTTCTTGGAGTACTGACATGTAGCCTCTATGTGTGCTCCCAAGTACTGTACCACACAGAGCAGAATTCAAAAGAGTACTTCATACATGTTCTAGTCTTATTCTGTTGTGCCAAACACTGTGACCTGAAGCAACTTAGAAAATCCACTATTTATATGATGGATTACATTGATAGGTCTGATTTCCAAATACAAAGAACTCAAGAAACTAGACACCAAAACTCTAATTAACCCAATTAAAAATGGGGTACTGAACTGAACAGAGAATTCTCAACAGAAGAACTTCGAATGGCCAAAAGACACTTAAGGTCCTGCTCAACCTCCTTAGCGATCAGGGAAATGCAAATCAAAACCACTTTGAGATACCATTTTACACCGGTCAGAATAGCTAAACTCAAAAACACCAATGATAGCCTATGCTGGAGAGGATGTGGAGTGAGGGGAACACTCATCCATTGTTGGTGCGAATGCAAACTTGTGCAGCCACTGTGGAAATCAGTGTGGAGGTTTCTCAGGAAACTGGGAGTCAACCTCCCTCAGGACCCAGCAATTCCACTCTTGGGAATATACCCAAGAGATGCCCTATCATACTACAAAAGTATTTATTCAACTATGTTCATAGCTGCACTATTTGTAATAGCCAGAACCTGGAAACAGCCTAGGTGCCCCTCAATAGAAGAATGGTTAAAAAAGGTGTGGAACATATACACATTAGAGTTTTACTCAGTGGTAAAAAACAATGACATCTTGACTTTTGCATGCAAATAGATGGAAATAGAAAACACTTTACTGAGTGAGGTAACCCAGACCCAAAAAGAGGAATATGGTATGTACTCACTCATAAGTGGATTCTAGCCATAATTAAAGGTCTTTGAGCCTATAATTGTTGATCCTAGAGAATCTAAATAAGAAGGTGAACCTGAAGAAAATCATATAGCTATCTTCCTGGATATTGGAAGCAGACAAGATTGCCAGGCAAACTTGGGTGCACGGTGGGTGGGGGGTAGAAGTAAGGGTAGATGGTTAGAGAGAAGGGAGAAGGGGAGGATGGGGGATAGCTTGGGGGAATGTGATGGGGGAGGGAGGAAGGATGGATATGGGAGCAGGGAAGTATATATCTCAACTAAGGGAGCCATTTTAGGGTTTTCAAGAGACTTGATTCTAGAGGTGTTCCCAGGTCCAAGGAGAGGTCCCCAGATTGTTCTCTGGGCAGCAGAGGAGAGGGTGCCGGAACTGGCCTTGACCCATAACCATACTGATGAATATTTTGCATATCACCATAGAACCTTCATGTGGCGATGGAAGAAGATAAAGACAGAGAGCCAGATTGGAACACAGGACTTAACTCCCTAGGTCCAAATGAGAAGCAGAAGGAGGGAGAACATGAGCAAGGAAGTCAGGATCAGAGGGAACCTTCATCCGACGATAGATGGAGATTGAGACAAAGACCCACATTGGAGCAATGGACTGAAGCCCCCAAGGTCCAAAGGAGGAGCAGAAGGAGGGAGAACATGAACAAGGAAGTCAGGACTGCGAGGGTTTCGTTCACCCACTGATACAAGGGGACAAATCTAATGAGAGCTCACCAAGGCCAGCTGGACTGGGACTGAACAAGCATGTGATCAAACTGGATTCTCTGAATGTGGCTGGGACGGGGACGGTCTGAGAAGCCATGGATAATGGCACTGGGACTTGTTTCATCTTCATGTACTGGTTTTTTGGGATCCTAGTCTGTTTGGATGCTCACCTTCCTAGGCCTGGAGGGAGGGGGGAGGAACTTGAACTTCCCGCAGGGCCGGAAACCCTGACTGCTCTTAGGACTGGAGAGGGAGGAGGAGAGGGAGTGGGGGGAGTGGGAGGGTATTGGGAGGAGGGGAGGAAATGGAAATTTTTATAAATTAATAATAATAATAATAAAAGGAGAATTAAAAAATAAAAGGTTGGGCAAGAGACCCTAAAAAAATAAAATAAAAAACAAATGCAAAACAAAAAAAAAAAGAAAATCCACTATTTGGTGTACAACTTACAATCTATCACCTAGGGAATTCAGGAGAAATTCTGAGCACAAGAATTGAAACAAGACATTGAAGCCAATACCAGAAACGGATGCTGTTTGTTGCCTTGCCGACAGGCTAGGGTACTTGTCTCATTGTACAGCTCAGTATCTACTACCCAGGCAATGGTGCTGCCAAGAGTGGGTTTAGAGATCATAAATAATCAGAACAACATGACAAAGATATACTCATAGTCAAAGCTGAATATAGCTAACCCTTAATTGAAACTCTTTCTCAGGTGACTCTAAGCGATATCAAGTTGACAATTAAAGCTGACTAGGACAATGTTCATTTGTGCAAAAATAAAGTATGGTTTTTGAGACTAATTACTCTGGCTTTATTTTTGTCAGAATGCATCTTTAAAGTAACTCATTAATTAGCAAATTTAAAGTTGCCCTCCAGACAATAAATCCTTGGGAAACACTGTCAGTGTCACATCTCAGAGAGAAGATAAATAAAATAATCTTGTCTTAGTTTACACATATATGCATATATATTCTAGCTTCAATCTTGAAATTTGAGCCACTATCCAATTACCTAAATAACCTGAAGAATCTCTGTGTCAGTTATGTATCTACTGAAACGTTACACAAACACATGATAAGCAACCACACAGGAAACTGCTTTGAAGTTATGTAGTCCTAATAAGAAAACCATGTCTATTGTTTTCTCAGTTTAGCTCTTTATTGACTAGACAACATTATCAGGCATATGAATCTATGGAAATATATTTATATTAATGAATAAACTGGAATAGAATTGGGTACCAATAATAATAGTTTTAACCCCGTAGTAAACATTCATCCTAATGAGTTTCGGTTTTGCGTAGGTTTTCACTTATATATTTTTTGAGTCATCAATCTCTTAAATCACTCATTTCCCTTTGTAAAATGTTATTTGCATCAGGGAAAGCAGAGGAGTAAAGTTGGATGCCAAATGTTTAATTAACATCACTTTATCTCACCCACATCAAGCAGCTTAATGTTCTTACAGAGGGAGAAATTTTTGTCAGTATTCCACTTCAAGGATGCAGCAGGTCCTTCTAAGTGATTTAATGCCTTTGTAATCCAAATTACTTAATATCTCAAATGAGCAGAAGAAGTATATACTAACTTCATAGTGAATTTTCTCAAGAAGTAGGTCAAAAATTCAAACTAGAGATAATGTATGTAATTGTGTAACCATATATGTAGGTCCATTTGCATATATATATCCACAGAACTGAATGGTTTTTGCTAAATACAAAAATAGAATGTAACCTACCTGAAGAAACAAGACAAATTCACAATAATTTTTCAATTAAGATCTTGTCTATTTTACTCTTACTATATAGTTTTTTAATCTCATTTTTTAAGCAAGATTTTGAGATGATTAACTCCAGGTTCTCTATTTCACAGGATTTACCTCCCACTGGTTGCAAAGATCACCCACGATAATACATATAAATACTAAGTTTAGGGCTAGGTACACTACATGTATACAGTAGATGTCAAATATCTTTATTTTGACTTTCCCCAAAAGGGTTAATTAGTTGTTTTCTATTTTCTCTGCTAAAATCAAAACATATGAGAAATACTTAAATGATAGTCCAAACTTCCTTTAAAGCATTTCAGTAATGACTGAAAAGTTTTAAGACATTACTCATATATAATAAAATACAAATGTCCTCTTGAATTCAGATTATTTTAAATAAAAGTGTTAAATATTCCTTGTGTTTTAATTACTGTTATAGTTAAATAAACCTAAACACAAAAATATTATGTAATCTTCTTTCTTCTTATATTAGCTTAAACCATTTAGACCTAGTATTTTTAGTTTGAATATCTTTGCTATAAATCTATCATTAAGTTTCAGAAATAGCATCAACTTGTAAGATCAAAATCTCCAAAATATTAGGACTGTTAAATGTTTTTCAACAGATTCATATACATAATTTAACTTACATAAGACATAATTTCAATAAGTAGCAAGTATCATGCATAGAAATTACAGATATCTGGGCTTGTTTAAGCAAAAAATTTACCAAACTGTTGCTTAATTGGAAGTTAAATTCTAATAGCCAGTATTCAGAGTGCTGGAACATGGTAAACAAGCTCCTACTGGAAGAGGAAAACATTAAGCGGTCTTACTCAGCTGTGAGGTCTGTGAGTTACAATCATGACTTGTCTATCAAGATATGCCCACTGGTACAATAATGGCAAGAATGTCTTGGGAGTAACCAACTACTTTCTGATTGAGGTTAAGACATATTCCACAGGACAAAACGCATGCCCAATATTGTTATCCAAAAAGATCCTATAATTAGGATCCAGTCAGTAGGGGGAAATATATACCTACAGTCAGATAAATGGACATAGTGTTAAATTAACGCCTATAGATGAATGCCTCTTTCAGGCCTCATCAGAGAGGCCTTTTGAAGTACATAGTGATGAACATAAAGATCCACAGCTAACCAAGATGCAGAGAATAAGTGACTCCAGAATAGTAAGCCTTAAATAATGCATCTAAATCATATCCTTCACTTCCAGAACAGGGATCATTGTAGAAGATGGCATGTAAGAGCTATACATAATGCAAGATGGAAACAGTAGCTTCGGGAAACAGCAGACAGAGGTGCATCTGAGCTCACACTGGCCATAACAGCATCTGGTATACATACAAAACTTCAAGGCAGAGGAAATCCAAGTATGAATAGGACAGGCAGGCACAAAGCTCACCCTTATAGCCAGGGAGTTAATGACAGTTTTGAACTACAATGCATTATAAAAATTATTGTCTCTACCACCTGTCTAGCTAGTTCCAGGACAGGCTCCAAAGATACAGAGAAACCTGGTCTTGAAAAACCAAAAAAGAAAAGAAAAAAAAAAACCTAATATATGTTATTCAGATCTTTTTGAAATTTGTGAGAGCAAGATATTGGGAAAGGGGACATTTTTGCATTTGGAGGCCCTCCTTTTACATCGACTCCATTCACTGTTGAATCCACGTTAACATTGCAATTAGAGCAACGACAATGAAGTCTGTAACTCCAGCAGGGCTCTCATTTCACTCAAAAGCACAGAAAATACATGGGTTTCTAAGGAGCATTTATCCTTTCTGGCACATCGGTAGCTCTATGATTTTTTATTATCTTCCATGCAAGAGGCAAATGATTATATTTTTAATTTTCCCTACCCTCTCATTAAGAAAACCTGGAACATTGTCTCTAGTTGCAGTCATTACAAATATATCATTACAGCATTCCAAGTAATAAAACAAAACCACTGTTGTCCAGATAGGATCCATTGCAAAATCACATGTGTAGTAAAGGAGCTTGGATGTGAATATATAATTTGAAATGAGTATGGCAAGCATAAATATAGTTCCTGGGACAAGACAGGGCTAATTTGCTCAGTGTCAAATATGCAAAACCAGGATACTTACATTTCTTATTTTCTGAGTGCAAAATGGTGGTGCAGATAAGAGAGGCTGTGCAAAAAGTTCTGCACAGGGAAAGTGATGAGGGAAAACATAATGAAACCTAGGGTTGCCACATTGGAGTGATATCGTCGACAGAAGCAGGAGGCTATATGACAGGAAAATGAAAGATACCCTATCAAACTGTTGGCTTAGGTTAGATCTTATATATTTTGATTGTCTATTTTCTGTCCATGCATAAAGTAAATGTTCTAACCTTAGAGGTAATTTCATCATTAGAATTATCAGCAATGGAAATAAAATTTTGGAAAAATAAACTTTGTGCTAAATTATGCATTCCCTTTTCATATGAATTCACAGTTTCAAGTACCTTTTCATGTCTAACTAGTGCCAGTCTGATTACAATGGAGTTTTAGTGTGTTTTTGAAGCTTTAATGTCCTTTTTCCCTCTGACCACATTTTCTGTTTCCTTTGGAAGACTTGCATTTGGGTATAGGTATTCATCTCAAGTAAAATTCTAGTTTATTTTAGCACCATCTTAAAAATGCAGTATGTTTTCTGTTGTTTCTCTTTATACATTTACCTTATCTTAATGTTGTATCAATAAAGGAAATAAAACATATATAATGAAGTCAAAAAATAAGCACTAAAATTTGTATCTCACATGTTGTACATAATTAAAGTGAAAAATATCAAATACACGTTGGGCTTTGTGAGCAGAAGATTGACTGCATTGCTTCATGAACACAATTTATTATCACTTAAGATGAGAGATTTTAAGTCTATATTATATATATATATATATATATACAAAATTCTATACTAACTTGTCAGCCTTTCTATTGACTAAAACAACTTAAACAGATATGAAACAAAATGAATAACCACCATTTTCTAGTTATCTCAGAAATCAAAATAAGAACACTAAATTATTTTGACTTTAGAAGTGAATGAATTTTTTTATATTTTACAGTATATTGTGACAGTATTATCAGAAAATATTTTCATACAATTTGAGGATATCAAGATTTACTTTCCTCAATTTTGAGTTAAGAAAATCCATGCAAACAGAAATCAGATGAGTTGACAATATCCCAGTGCCAACAAATGGAAGAAATAAGTCTCAGATTTGGTCATGTCTGTACTAACCACTCAGTCAATAGAATGCTTACCTTAAAGAAATAGGTGTACCCAAGCTTGATTCTCAAAACCAGTTTGCTATAGTTGGGTGTGGGAGATAGCAGAGACAGGCAATTCCTTGGAGTAGTCATGCATGATGGTGTCACCTTTTTGGTAAGTTCTAACCATCAAGAGGTTATGGAGAAAAGAAAAATGGTGGAGGTTATAAGAGGAACCACATCCGTAGTCATCCTGTTGTTTCCACAGTGTGTGACTCTGCCCTTTACCACTTGCTGTTGTAATTTTCATCCTTTCTTTGTAGTAAAATAAATAAATAATAATTTTCTTGAGATGCGAACATAATACAATTGTGAGATACTATGTAAAAAAGTGAATTACAAATTTACAATATTTTAGTGGCAAAAAATGATCATTAGGTAAAATGAAAAATATCATATATTTCCATATGGAAATGTTTAACATATTTTAGAAAATAATTGAACAGTCTTTGCTCAATGACTATTTTTCATATCTTCCAATATTACATTTATGTTTTTTCAGAAGAAAATTATTTCAAGGTAAATTTTAACCAGGAAGTAGATAGAAAAATTTTTAAGAATTTATATACTAGGTTGAAAATTTTGTTTCTATTTTTTATAGTTATATAAGGAAATCACAGTATCACACAGAAGCTAATTAATATTGCATAATACCTTTATGCAAATTGACCAAATATGATAAATATATTAATTTCTATCTATACATTTCTTTCCTTACTTTCTCCAGTACACCTAAACAACCGATCAGCTCTTCAATGGTTCCTATGTTGGTGGAAATATATATTCATGTATATTGAACACCCAAACCTCTTCTTTTTATAAGTTGTACTAATGTCTCAGGAATAAAGCTTAAAATTATACTAACTTGTTAGCAAAATCTGACCTAAGTGCTTTTGCATTCTCCACCATCAGATACAGAACAAATGGTGTATTTGACAATAACCAAATTTGGGGATGTATTCTAAATGGACAAAATTTAATAACAATATTTTCATAAATCTCTATGCCTTCATAATCACTTGTAGTGCTTCATCACTTCATTATCACTGAAATAACAACAATCTGAATGAGATAGATGCATAACAATCACTGTCTATATTTCTGTCTATCAATATACTTAAATAATATTTATGTTTCACCTAGCTTTCAACTAGAATTTATGTATCTACCAACTTTTTATTATAATGCTATCAACATTTTGTAGATGGTGATTTCAGTCCCACCTGGTCTTACAGTCATTCATTCCGAAAGATACACAGATGCTTATATTAATTATAAACTATTTGTACTGTTAGCTCAGGCTTATTATTAACTAGTTCTTACAATTTAAATCAACTCATAATTCTTGTCTATGTTTAGCCACGTGGCTTGCTACCTTTTCTCAGGGAGGCATTCTCATCTTGCTTCTACTGAATTTTGGCGGAGACTGAGTCTCTGCCTTTCCTTTTCCCAGAATTTTCCTAGTTTGTTTTTTCCATCTATACTTCCTTCCAGGCTACTGACCAATCAGTGTTTTCTTAAACAATATGAGTGGCAAATCTTTGCAGTATATAAGAGCATTCTCCCAAGCAATATTTCGTCTACTAATTGAGCTATCACCCATTTTATAGATATTATTTATTATATATCCACATGTGAGTATATATTTATGCAGATGACTATAATTCTAGATATTAATCAATATTTTGGTTTATATAATCAAGAAAACCTGAAAGTATTTTATTACTAGGTGAGCTATGGTCTTCAGGCTAGAAATTATTCTCATTCCAAATGAATCTGAGAGATTATAGAATAAACTATAAACTATCATCACAATATATTCTCTAATGGGTAAATAAGAAAATTTATTGAGAATGCTACTTTTCAGCACAATGTGGTTTCTGTATACCTCTTTGGTCTTTACTAATTGAATGAAATTTCTGTTTAAAATTAAATAGATTCTGTCTGTTACATGCCCTAGTTTTCCATTATCTACTTTTATTTTATCCTAGCTTCACACAGACTAGCCTGATTGGTCCCTGAATGTGGCCAAGACAGATATTCAAGGGTAAATAAATCACATGATAAATATTTGTTTAAATGCAACCAAACTATGACTTCTCATATTGAATGCTGAAATTTTTTTTATATATCTAGGTAGCAGTCCAAAATGGTTTTGCTGGTTTATTTATGATACTCAGCATGTGCAGATACTAAAATCTGTTATAAATATTGATATTCCTAAAAGAGTTTTTATTTGATCCTCAGTGTCCTCCTTAAAATACATTTAGGATTTAACATGTAGAAAATAGAATTAGCCTTTATAAATATATTGAACAGGTAAGAACTTTACTTTCTGGTTAAAAAAAAGTAAACCATCAAAATGACAAACTATTTTACATGAGACTTATATTTGACCCTCACACACTTATTTATAAATTTAATAGCACTGGGATTCATTTAACCAAGAAACAAGCAAGCAATAAAAAAGGTATCATCATGATCCATCTAAAGAAAAATTAAGAAAAATTAATATAACCCTCCACATCTTTTTATAATATTTAAAGTATACATAAAATTCATCTATAGAAATACCATGTGAGTTCTAGAAGACCCAAGGCTACACAGAGAAATACTGTCTTGAACCTCTCCCCGCAGAAAAAGAAGTTATAAGTAATAAAGACTAAAATATCATTTACTGCTTCCAGCATGAAATCCTTCTGTAATTAGAATTTAACTAGTGAAAACATATTCTGTGTCATTAGTTTCCAGCACATGTATGTTTGAGTGGTGGCATTTCAGGTTGAAAATATATTTTCAATATTTGAATAAAATAATTGTGGCTCACAGTATAGGAAGCAACCAGCGTCAGATTAATAAGGTTTGTTGATATAAATGTGCACTCTTGCAGCAGTATGGATCTACCTAGTGTTGAAACTGAGTATTAGGAAAAGAGGAGGATTTCATTCTTGCAAATACCTCACTACTATGACATTGCTATGAAGCCAGAGAGAAAAAAAGAACAATGTCCAGTATTAGAGAGTTGTGTGTGTATTATAAAAAGCATAGCTCTATGGACAAAAAAGAATGATCTATGTCCATTTTAATGAACCAATATACTGGTTTATTGAGTCACTTAAGAGCATGGATGAGGGAAACACCCTGCTTATTATGTATAATAGGTCAAAAGATCTGCAATACTGGAGTCCCTAGGCGGCTTGCTTATGGAGTTTGAAAAGGGGACTTTTTAGTTTTGCAATTTCCTGAGTGTTCTGAGTCTTAATAGTTTCTAGTGACTTTCAGAAGCCTCATAAATCTCCCTTCATTTAGGTTGAGTGGAGAGTACATTTCCAAAGAAATGTACAGAGGTAGGTGGGGGAGCTTTAGGGAGGGTCGGTAATATCAATAGAAATTTAAGTGTTCAGAAAGAATTTTGATAGCATGATTATGTAGTAAAATAACAATAGCAATCCTACCCTAAGACCAATGAACAACTCCCACTTGATAACAAGGTAATTGAAAGGAGGCTTAAAAATCTTGGAACATTTCTTTATCTGCTTTGAGACATCTAGGTTATTTCCAATTTGTGGCCATTGTGCATGGAACAATAATCAACATTATGGAGCAAGCAACTCCATTGGAGAAAATGTTGTACCTTTACCCAATGGATTATTTACCAGCCATTAAAAAATAACATCATGAAATATGCAGGCAAATAGCTGAAACTAGGGGGAAAAATCATCCTAAGTGAGGTAATACAGATCCAGAAAAACACATAGGGAATGTGTTTGCTTATATGTAGATATTAACTGTAACATCAATGATAACCAAACTGTAACACATAGAATCACAAAGGTTTGGTATAGAGTAAGAATCTAAAAGGGAACAAATAGATCTCATTAAGCAAGGGAAACAGAATAGATAGTTAAAAATGGAACAGTGGGTAGAATAGAAAGATCAAGTTGAGATGGGGGAGAGAAGAGATTGTGGGAGGAAATATGGAGAGAGATAGCTAAAATTAAAGAATATTTGATGAGTAATATGCAACACTAGTATAATAAAACTTGCTGAAATATATACATGTATGAAGACAATCTAAATGAAATCTTCAAATAACTGGGGAGACTGAGTCCCAACTTAAAATCTCAAGTCACCAAATGAATTTTCCATTAATGAAACTGGGCTATAACTAATTGAGTTGTTAGGTCAGAGGGGCCCCATAGGAATCCCCCAAATCCAAGTTGTTTCTAAGAATGTATATATCTCTCTCCATTCAACAGAAAGGCCCATTGCTGAAGATAACACCGCCACAATTCATTGAACATAGAGAAGATAAGGTAGTGCCTACATAGAGCCTCCACCCCTATCTTCTAGAATCTTTGATACACGAAGTTACTCTGCACATTCTCAAAAGGAACACCAAGCCAGCCACAAATGCTCTTTTTACAATGGTGTTCTAACTATAGCATATGCTAAGGCAATAGTAACACAAAGCTTCTCGAAGTAGCAAACTAATATCTAATTTGAATTGAGGCCCACTCCATGAGATGACACCCCTACTTGACAGCATTTTGGAGGTCATGAATGTGTAATCAAAAAGCCCAAGGACCTAGATTAAAGTCAAGTAATACTTGTCTTAAAAAAAGGAACTAAATGTATTGATAAAATGACCTTCTGGTATACACACAGGCTTCTGCCTTGTTCACCCATCCATCATCAGATTGGCTTCCTCCTACAGCAGGTAGGAATAAATATAAAGACACACAACTAGACATTATGCATAGAGGAAGAGAATTTGGAGACTATGATCTCAATGGGATACTCATCACACCCCTCCCTTCAGAGAATGGCCACAAAGAGTATAAGAACCCGAAGGGAAGGAGGACAATGATGAAACAAGACGCTCTAAATAACCATAGCTAAGCTCATTTGAAGTCACAGAAACTGAGGCAGAAAATGCAGGGCCTGAAATGGTCTGGACCAGGTGTTCTGCTTTCCAGATTTGTGTTTTTAATATGATTCCTGAGTGTGTGACTGAATGGATCTCTCTGACTCTTACCTTCTCTTGGGCTCCTTTTCTTCTGTTTGTCTTGTCCAACTTAAATATGATATTTTTGTTTTAGTTTTATAT